AAAAAAAAAAAAGTTGTAGCTTGCCCAGTGCTGGTGGCTGGTGGCTCACATCTATAATCCTAGCTATTCAGGAGGCTGAGAACTGAGGATCACAGTTCAAAAAGTCCATGAGGGGCTGGGAAGGTGGCTCAGTGGTAAAATGCTTGTCTCGCATGCATGAGGCCGTGGGTTCGACACCTCAGCACCACATAAGCAGAAAAAGCTGGAAGTGGTGCAGTGGCTCAAGTGGTAGAGCACTGGCCTTGAGCTGAAGAGCTGAGGCACAGCATCCAGGCCCAGAGTTCAGGTCCAAGACCAGCAAAAAATGAAAACAAACAAAAAAAGTCCATGAGATTCTTAAACTCCAATAAACCACCAGAAAACCGTTAGTGGTGCTTTGGTTCAAGTGGTAGAGCGCTTGCCTTGAGCTGAAGAGCTCAGGGACAGTGCCTAGGCCCAGAGTTCAAGCCCCCTGACTGACAAAAAATAAATAAATAATTCTTGTAATTTTTTTTACGTGGTCCAATTCTATTTTGATATTCCAATTTTTTAAAATCAAGATTCTTACATGAGTTTGAATAAAATCCTCTCAAATCAGATTACCTTTGTAATTGCAATTTAAAAATAGGGCCATTACCTCGATTTAGATATGAAACAAAATCCATTTCAAAAGCAGATTCCCCAACTCTTCCCTTGACACTGCCCCTCCCTGGGCCTGTAGGGCAGAAGTAAGGGCCCCTCAGCCATCTGGTGCTGTGCTTGCCCAAGGCCTCCCTAGCCAAATCCACTCCAAATTCCTGGCTGCTCATTATGTGGCTCTGTGCTGAAGACAAAGCCCGTTCTCCAACTTCAAGGTACTTTTTCCTGTCTTCTGTTTGTTCCAACAACTTCACCTTTTCCAGACAAGCAACTCTGGGTAGCATAAGCCTTTGTTCCTACCAGTCCTTCATGCCCTGGCTGTCATGCTGAGGGAGAAGTCTTCTTCCACCCTGCCCAATGGCTGCTGTGCCATCCTTGCCTCCAGCCTGCTTGACCTACCTTCTCTGACCATATTCCACTCTATACCATGCCATGCACCACTGTTTCTCTAGAGACCTTCTCTAGTTAGCACTCTATGTCCACTTGACTTGAACCCTGCTTCTTTACCCTGGCTTCTCCTCGACATAAGGACCTTAGTGCCCCTGTGCAGGCCCCTTTTCTGGGGATCACTCCCAGCTGTGTACTCCTGCCCACAACTGCTGAGCCCCATTCCAGAACCCAAAGCAGGACTTCTGCATCCCAGGCTGCTGTGCGACTGCTCCTACCATGTTCCCACCAGCACTGACCAGCCTCTTGCCAGCCTCACCTCCACTTGCCAAAAATCATCCAATTCACATCTGTCTGTCTCAATGCCACCTCCTCCACACTTTCCTAAGCCTTCCAAGAAGGTTCCCCTGCCTCTGCACATAAAGATCTACATGGCTTTCTACCTAACCTCAGTGAGGTTCAGGATGGGACAGAGATGAGCTAAGTCCAGTCAAGGCTGACCTGTCAGTAAGGAAATCAGAGCCAACTGGGAGAAGCAAAAACGTGATACAGAAATACTGTTAATTATAAATGGGAAAAATGGATGTGATAGTTTCTGACCTCATATTCTTGCTTAGTTCATGCAATTCATTCACTGATTCTCCGGGTGGTGAATGTCTCAGTATTCTGGGGTTAACTTATACACAAAGAGGAAGAAAATGCAGGAAAAGTGGGTTTAGAAGACTGGGAAAGGTTGGTCTTGGAGGATATGCACAAGCCGAGTGTCAGTGGTGCATGTCTGTATTCCTAACAACTCAGGAAGCTGAGATCTGAGGATTGTGGTTCAAAGCTAGCCCAGGCAGGAAAGCCCATGAGATTCTTTCTGTGTGTGCACACACACGCGCACACACTCGCGCACACACACACATATGCGCCCATCAGTTCTGGAGTTTGAACTCAGGGTCTCGATGCTGCTCTGAGCTTTGCTCAAAATTAGCATTCCATCTCTTGAACCACAGCTCCACTTCTGGCTTTTCTGATGTTTAATTGAATTCTCTTACCTGGGCTTGCCTTGCTGCTGCAATTCTCAGATCTCAGCAACCTAAGTAGCTAGATTACAGGCACAGCCACCAGCTCTTACAAGACTCTTATCTCTTCAATTAACCACCAGAAAGCCAGAAGTAGAGGGCTGGGGCTCAGGTAGTAGAGCACTAGCCTTGAGCAAAAAAGCTGAGGGAAAGTGCCTAAGCCCTGAGTTCAAGCCCCCAGTACTGGCACCAAAAATAAATAAATAAAAAATAAAGAAAAAGTATAGACAAGCAGAAAGAAG